TCTTTCACGCCTGAGACTCTTGAGAGTCCTGTTTTCAGAGGGTCAAAAGTATTTGGACATGTCAACAACATTTAAATGTAAGAACGGTTTGACTGCTGAAGAACCCACAGACTGCTGTGTCTCCTCCTTCAGCTGGCTACTTCTCTCTGCCTTCAGTTTTAATTACTGAAACGCTGGCCTGAGATCAGCTCTTGGACTTTTCTCTCCCATCATTCTGGTTCAGCTTCATCTTGTTTGTCTGTCTAAAGATCATTTTTCAGATGTTTTAAAGTCAGATCTTCCTGAGTGAGGTTAGTAAGCGCCGCGTTTCCCTCCATGACGGCGTCTCTTGATCGCAGACCTTCTCCTCACAGAGACTTCTGATGTTGTGAAGCTGTTTTTCTGAACATGCAAATAATTTTGTCATCACCTTCAGTGCCCGCTCTGCTCTCTCAGGTCTGTTGCTGAGCTGATCAGTGATTCATTCTTTTTAACAGTGATCGAGTTTATTGATTGGGACCACTGATAAAAAGTTTCTGCTCTGTGACTGCTATATTTTGGTGTTTCAGATCAATGATGGCCTCTCTCACCTGCACTAACGTCTCTTTGGGCCTCATATTTTGAACATGAAAACCATAAAAATTCAGAGATCACCTCTGCTTCGCGAGTCCTGGAATAACATCAACCGTCGGATTACTTCTGACCCTGTGAAGACGGTGGCCCGAGTAGTACCTGCACTTCCTGATCTGTGGATCTGATTCGTTAAATTTTAAACTTTGAGCGGCATCCTCTGTCCCTTCCTGTTGTGCTTCTAAATGAAACTGTACTCACTGTTTGTGTAAATAAAGTTTTTCTCTACTTCCTCTCCCACCTGAATCGTGCTGTCGTTCTCCTCCTCACTCCTCGCCCTCCTCCATCTTTCTCGCTCTCTCCTTTGGGAGTTCGCCTCTGCCGCCTCACCTGCCGCAGCAGGGCACTCTCACCACGCCTCCTGTCGCCACGGCGACCAGAGAAAAACCTCACCATGAACGAGCGTTGGGCGAAGACGCCGTCGCAGGAGAGCGAACCGGCCGACGACACATCAGGATGACGAAGAGTTAAAGAGGTGAGAGAGAAAGAGGAGTGTCCGTGGAGAGCAGACGGAGAAATGAGAGAGAGACGGAGGAACGCATAGAGGAGGAGGAGGAGGAGGA